AATTAATTCTATTACTAGTAATGTTTGAGTTTGATCATTTGATAAAGGTGGTATGAAGATATTTTCATTTTAAAAATATCTTCCCTCGGCTTGGTGCCTATGTTCAGTGCCCTAAGGACTGAACATAGGCACCAACCATATATACTGGGGCTGGTGGATTCAAACTCGGCCTGGATCTGCTAAACAACAGTGACAACTACAACAAAACAATAGCCAAGCATTATGGCAGGTGCCTGTAGTCCCAGCTACTTGGAAGGCTGGGGCAAGAGAGTCGCTTAAGCCCAAGAGTTTGAGGTTGCTATGAGCTGTGATGTCACAGCACTCTACCGAGGGCGACATAATGAAACTCTGTTTCTAAAAAAAACAAAAACCCTTTCCTCCTTAATTAATTAAAATAAATATGTAACCTCTAGGATAATAGTATGAGACTGTGTGAATATCTCGTTTCCTAGTAGTCTTTTTTATATTATAGTTTAGTAACCACTGATGGTTCGCCTAAAAATGGCGACTTTTGTTTCTTTTCTTCTTTCTCAGTTGTTTGTTGGTATTCTCCATAAAGAAGAGCTTTTCTTTCTCCCTGCTTTATCCCTTTTAAAAAACCAATTATTTAGGTATCAGTATAGATTTTTTTTTATTCATTATGCTCCCAAACACGCCTGTCATTCATTCTGATATTCAAATTTTTCCAGATTTGGCCATGGGTTTACTTGGGTTTTAATTTCTTCAAAGGTTGATTTTTAGTACTTCCCTCAGTACATTTTCATAGTGCTAGAATTAGAGGGATTTCCAGCCAAATCTAGCAATATTTATATGTCTGATTTCATCTATTAAGACTATACTAGCTAGGAATAGTGATGCATGCCAGTAATCTCAGCTGCTTGGGAAACTGAAGCAGTTGTATTGTTTGAACCCCAGGAGATCAAGACCAGCCTGGGCAACATAGTGAGACCCTATCTCAAAAAAAAAAAAAAAGATTGTACTTCACTACTAATCTATTTATTTTCTTGTTTATAACTTATTAGGTATTTCCTTTTGTCTGGAGCAATGGTTTTCAAAGTGTAGTCCCAAGACTAGCAGCATTTCCATCATGCAGAAATTTATTAAAAATGCAAGCACTTGAACTCTACCCTAGACCAACTGAATCAGAAACTCTAGGGTGGGGCCCAGCGTTCTGTGTTAACAGGCCTGCTGGGTAATTCAAATACATATCAAATTTAAACACTGGTCTAAGAACCAGTTATTGGTCAATTATGTTTGTCTTCGATCTTGCGCATTCATTTATCAAACATCTATTTGCTAAGCACTTTTCATGTGTTAGATTACATTTGTAAAACCAGCTACATATTTTGCATACACAATCTATTGGTAATGAAAAGGACTAGGTAGGACTATGGCTGATCTTTGTTACTAGAAAAAGAATAAAGAATAAACCTCATTATTTTTTTTTATTTTTTATTTTTTGAGACAGAGCCTCAAGCTCTCACCCTGGGTAGAATGCTATGGCATCACAGCTCACAGCAACCTCCAACTCCTGGGCTCAAGCGAGTCTCCTGCCTTCGTCTCCCAAGTAGCTGGACTACAGGCACCTGCTACAACGCCCGGCTATTATTTTGGTTGCAGCCATCATTGTTGTTTGGTGGGCCCGGGCTGAATTCAAACCTGCCAGCTCAGGTGTATATGGCTGGTGCCTTAGCCGCTTGAGCCACAAGGTGCCAAGCCTATTTTGTTTTTTATGTTATTGTCACATTTATCAGTTATGATGAATTACTATATTTTATCAATTTGATGATGCCCATTTTTAGCACATAAAAAAACCTTTTTCTTAGAAATCTTTTCTTTCTTTTTTTTTTTGCAGTTTTTGGCCAGGGCTGGGTTTGAACCTGCCACTTCCAGCATATGGGGCCGGTGCCCTGCTCCTTTGAGCCACAGGCACTGCCCAAAATCTTTTTTTATATTTTAACAATTCTGATGTCAAAATGCATTTCACAATCACTTTTGGCCAGGTATCAATCATAAAATTGTCTGTGCCTACAAATGAGCATCAAAACTTGCAAAGTGAGCGTCAATGACTTGGAAGAAAATTGTGAAGACAGTAGTAGAAGGGAGGACTCTTTTAAGAAATGTTGCATTGAGTGGCACTTGTGCTCATTGGTTAGGGCACCAGCCCCATATACCAAGGGTGGTGGGTTCAAACCCAGCCCTGGCCGAACTGCAACAAAAACATAGCTGGGCATTGTGGTGGGCGCCTGTGGTCCAAGCTGCTCAGAAGGCTGAGATGAGAGAATCGCCTAAGCCCAGGAGTTGGAGGTTGCTGTGAGCAGTGTGACACCACGGCACTCTACTGAGGGCGATAAAAAAGTCTCTACAAAAAAA